TGGAGGAGAGAAACTGTGTAATAGAAAATCAAAAACATGCTGCAGCTGAGAGAAACTACAGTATTGTGACAATTGATCCTTGTAAGGCACATTGGTTTGTCAAACGAAAGTGAATGTTTACTCAGAGACTGTTCACTTAGAGAAAGTAAAAGGAGTTACACTTACCTGAAAGTAGAATGGGATTTAGAATCCAATCCATAACTGAGGCGGAGAAAACAAGATATAGTTATACTGCAATACAATTGTTAAAAGACTGAATTTAACAGACAAAGTTCAAGATGTAAAAGTGGGATTAGCTCATGGAATAGTTGACCAAATGCCCAAAGGTTAAAGCATGAAGAGTTTTATTTTTAACATATTGAAGTTTAATAATAAAAAGATGAACAAATGATTTACCTGACGTATGCTAAGTCTTCACCGGTCAATTGTTGATTGCATTGTTTGTGTCTTTTCTTCTTAAAAATAATATCTATGTTATTTTTTCAGCTCTGAATCCCTCTCTCCTCTGTGATCACAGGGCTATGTGGTTATGTAGTTTGAACATACATGGGTTGAGTTTACATCCAGTGTCTCATATCCATTATACAAATGTTTCTTCCTCTTATGTAAAACGTGCAATCTCTGGAACGTGTACAATGCTAACTTTATTATAATAGTGATTAGGGGCAAAGTACAGATACATAAAAACCTAACAACATCTATTTACATTTTTTGTATTTGACAGATAGGGCTTACCGACGAGCCCTGGTAATGTTTTACTCAAATGGATGGAAATCTTTTTTGGTGCTTGTAATATTTATTATTCACCACAACATAATGCAGTACAATGTTTTGGGGAAATAATTTCCTAGGCTCCCCTCTCTCCCTTCTCTCCCCTCTCTCCCTTCTCTCCCCCCTTCTCTCCCTTCTCTCCCTTCTCGAATAGGAAGCTGACGGTGAAGCTCCGCTATCTTAATGATTGTTTCTTTAATGATATCGTTGTTCGTGAATGTATGATTGTTTCGGTGAATATATGATTGATTCGTGAATCTATGATTGTTTAGTGAATACACATATATGATTGTTTTCCTAACCGAATAGATTTCGGTCAACTCAATCCCGTGAACTATACAAAAACCGAGATACTTTTTTTTTGGACTACATGAATATACTAAGACAAAAGGAAGTTCGAACATAGAAGAACCAGGCTTACGTGAATACATTAAGTGAAAAACCTAATTTCGCCAGTCATTTACGTTACATTACATTACATTACAATTTGGACGTGACATTGAAAATAAGTACATAAAAAGTAAACTTACAAATAAATTATAGAAAACGGAAAAATTACTGACTAAATTTACGGTAAAAGGAATTACAGAAAGTTAAAACATTTCGTGAAACTTAAAGGACCACAACTCTCCACGGATACTTATTTAATTTGAACAGAACGGATTCCCTATCTGAAGTATCGATGTCATGCAAAATTGTGAACATTAATGGGGAACAATTGTTTATAGGACACCACCCCTTTTGTTATTCACACCTAAAACCTGAAATACCAATTGAATGCACTACGGATTTTTCTATCCCCACACGTAACACATTATCTTTGAGACCGCGGTACATCAGCATTGTGTTACTTGTGCCCTCTCGACCTCGAACTACGTCGTGACCTTTCTAATAAACTTCAATGCTTGCCTCTTAACTGTTTCTGTGAACGACGTCGGTCCTTCAACTGTGTCGTCATAGGGTTGGTTAGGGAGTTCCAAGATGGGTCTCGGAACAATAAATCGCCACTGGTTCTCCTTATTAGTGTAACACGAAATCTATTCTAGTCCGGTTTCGGTGATTCGTGTGGAGGATATGTCGGCTGCGGTTGTCCGCCCTTACTCTCTGTTTTGTGTTCCAACGTCCGGACACGGAGTCGCTCCCGTCATTTTTTGCCTAATTGACCATTTTTCAGTTTCAGTTGAAATAACAGTTAGAGTTTATACCAAACATGGTATCTGACATGATATATTTCCAAACATGTGTGTCTTTCTAGCTTTATGACCAAAGGGTCAGGGCTCCATGTTGTCTTTTTGGTGAATTTTACGTATGGCAACGATGCGACCTTCCTTCCCCCCCTCTTCCCTCTCTTCCCT